ATAACGTTACCTTAGCCAGCTATATCGATAAAGACATTGTACAAACTATTGATTGTAAAGTTGTCAACATAATAAATGAAGATTTTAAACTTTCGCGTTTCATTTCAAGCCGTGAGTACATAATGTAACTCATTAATAAACGTCGCGTTAAGACCCGTGTCTTACTATTTTAATGATAATATGATTAGAAACAGGGGTGGGGAATTCTGATTATCTACAAATTATGTGTATTGGTACCAGACTTGAGTTTACTTTTGTGCTTGATCTAGTACATTATTTATCTATCGTAGTATCGGAATTCGGCTTTAAATGCACCGTCTCCACCATAATAGGGTAATAAATCAATTAATATTTTATCAAATTGTGTACCCAAATAATTAATGTAATTTTTTAATTATGTGTGATTTGTGCTCATGAAATTCAGTTCCTATTTAGTGATACCGTGTCGACAACCCAAAATAGTGTTGTGAGTAGCAACCTATCGATATCGCCCCCACTCGCGTCCCCACATCGTAATTCAAGAGGTAATCCTCGGACCATTAACCCCAATAATCTAATAGAAAGGGCCAAGTTTAAAACTGCCGTAAATCAGAATCGATATCTAATCGAGTTGCGAACAATCGAACCGGAATATATCTGATGGATACGTTAATTCCATGCAAATGTAATTTTGGAGCTTTATTCATAATATATTGGACTAGCTTTTACACGCGACTTTAAACGGTTTTCGGTTAGGTATAGGTTACAATGCTCGTTTTCACCATCAATCCTTAATTTTCAAGTGACCCCTATGGTAATACATAACAGGAATTTTGTTTTCATAGGGGTCACTTAAAAATTAGGGATTGATGGTGAAACCGGGCATCAGTATCCTATTAAACGCTATACGCGGCTTCAGACGTTGGCGTGAAACGTTTCTATCGATAGTAACCAGTGACGCGACTTGACGCTCTACGCCATCTACGGAGTTTATAGGAGACCACATCCTTAGTAACTATAGCCTATTTCATTCAAGAATAATGTACCATTTCAAAAGTGAAATAATTTTTGAAATCGGCCAAATAGTTTTTGTGTTTATTCGTCACAAACATACAAAAATGCAAATCTTTACTTTGATTTAGAAACTTAAGAATAGTGCAATACAGTAAATCAACAAGACGAGAAAATTACAAGACAAATAACGAATTCTCCCTCGTCGTAAGCCATTCTTTGCTAAGCGATTATTTAATTATTTCTAAACGCGGTAAGAAACATTAAGCTCATTTTCGCGACTGCTAAAGCATTCATACTCGTACGCGAGTTGCTCGTTGCCTTTTAGTGCCACTCTCTTCCATAATTCATTTTGCATTAGTCCTCTAACTCCAGTCATCGCTAATCACACAGTCTAATAAGAAGAGAAAGCCAAATACAATCTGAATTTACTCCAATAAATCTCTGCTAAATTAACTGAAAAGCTTCATGAAAAATATTCTAAAGAACGTCACAAAAAGTATTTTTTCCGTAGTTTTTTACCCGACTGTGCAAAAGGGAGGGTAATGTTTTTATTTGGTTCCGTTAACTACCTGTTTCCTTCTTCTTTTTGTTGATAACGATGAACTTGCGTATTTTTGCCACTGGTTAAGCTAAAATTATTCACTCGTTCAGCGACGGCGAGGCTCGAACCAGCGATCTTTGGATGTCGAATTGTCGAGTTGGCCAGTCCAACACCTTCACCTCGGGTTAATTTTATAATCATAAAAATGACTAAATATAAATATCCTTGGACTTACACTGCGCCGCTAGCCCCAAACTAAACAAAGCGTGTACTATGGGTACTAGACAACGGATATAAACATACTTAAATACTTTTTCTACTACACCCAGACCCGTCACAGAAATTAAAATTCATCATTTCAATTTCTGCCCCGCCGGGAATCGAATCCGTGACCTCTCAGCATTGTAGTCCGTTCTGAACCACTACACCAAACGGCCGACGACTACTACACCAAATGCGTTGGAATTCCACCTATCCCTGGCTGTTCTGTTTTACCCACGGTAATGAGCTTATTGCCACAGCGAAAATTTGATGACCGCCCGCCCCCGGTGACTCGCGGTACATGTTTGCGTTTAATAATTGAGCCTGCATTAGCTGTATTGATTAATTACGTGATTAGCATGCTGATGATTTGTTATTATAATTGATGTTTGTTCAAGCATACGAGAACGAGTATTAAGTTTGTTTATATTGACGCAAACTGACGATTTGTATTGACGCTGTTATGATTATGCATCGTCATTCATGACTGTGTTGAAAGTGAGATTCTCTCTGAAACTATAAAAATCATCAAGTCAGTGATGTTCTGTATAAAAAATCTTTCATGGTACCTACATTTATTCGATTCATAAAGTGCAGATTTAAAAAAACATGAATTTGTTTGAGTAATGGCTTATCTTATTATCATACTCGTGATTGATGGTAATTAATAGATGGGACACTATGAGTTTCAAGGTTTGATTATGCGTAGTAAAAATAAACATAAAAAGAAAGAATAGTACAACATTCCAATCACTAGCTTAAATCAGGCCTTGAGTACTAATTCGCAAATTCCACGTTGTGCGCCAATTTTGCGTATGACGTAAGTCGTATACCTAACGGTAATTAGGCAGCTAAAGCTTTAAAAGGTCTCCTTTAATTCAGTTTAGTAATTACAATCGAACATATAAATGCCCTCTTTTCAGGCTTTAATCCACACATTGAATGTTACACTTTTCATCCTGCAAACAGTATAAAAATAAAAGATATTTCAATTAAAAATATCTTCAACTTTTTTAATATTCCGTTTGCTTAACAAACTCAAGTTTTTAATTAATTAAAACATCATCATATTTTCGAACTTTGTTTTAGATGAATGTAATAAGTAATTAGTTGAAAATGTTAATAGGATTTCATCGACAAACTCTGATAATCAAATTAGTAGACAGTTCGTACAAATACCTAAATTTATAATTTTGCTGCCATATTTGCCATGCCACGGCACGTTTCTTATTGCCACGTACTGTTACTATATCATTTTTGGTTTCACTTCCATACCAGCTAATAGAATATTGAGATATATCACAAAAACGTGAAACCTAAAGAGGAACAATCATTCTAATCTACATAAAAGGTGAAAAATTTTCAACGAATTTTCAAAAGAAAAATCCTCACACTTTCGGTTAGACGCGCCACGTACGACTCCAGTTTGCATTGAAATATAGAAAAAGTTTTAGGGTTGGCAACATTGTAATCTTTTAGAGACTATCCCGAGACAAATTGGCAACCCAGTTAATTTTACTTTAGTACATACTTACAGACAATTTTGTGTTTTTTTATATTTTATCTTTAAGCTCGTTATCTAGATGTCAAATTTTAGGTTGTAACTTTTTGACAACCCTATCGAGGAGTCTACAGTGTGCCTACCATGAGTTTACGTTAGGTGAGCTCGCTAGCGAATACGTCAAAAAATTCTATGAAGATTTTATTTCTTGAAAGTAGCCGCTAGGGGCGCTGCACAATATGTCATACATTTAAATGTCATTTTTTTACGCAGTCGCTAGCGAGCACACCTAACGTAAACTCATGGTAGGCACACTGAAGTCAAATTAAATTCTATGCTCTTTCGTTTCTTCATAATACAGAATAAGACATGTTATTCGGTGATTCGTGGGAAATAAAAATCGTGGCACGCCACGGTATGCATAAGTAATTCTTCTGGAATTGGATTTGCTCTGAGCCGCGCTTCGAGTGTTTGTTTTAGCTCAAAAATGGGGAGATATTTAATCCGCATACAATTTTGGAATGATGGGATGAGTTGTGTCGCGAAAAATGTACCCGAAAAGAAGATATTGTTGCAAGAAAAAGAAAATCTCGCGCCAAAAAGCCTCCCCCTTAGCGTTAGCCGTGTCAAAGTTAAGATTTAGCAGGAGCGGGGATATTCCTGGTTCCAGCGTTCTAGGAAAGTTCTTTTTAAATTATAATTGGGGTACGCTTCTGGTACCTACTATTCCCGTATTTAGTATATTCCCAGGAACGGCACATCACTAGGAGAATGAAAAAAAAAACGAAAGATTATGATCAAGATGCTAAGTGCAAAAAAGAGAATAAGTAACTTTCACCCATAATAAAACACAAACAGCTGGAAAGTACCTACTCGTAAATTCCAACACATTTGCTAAATCCCTTCTGGAATAATTAATGTGTATGTTTGAGGAAAAAAACTAACTATATAAAAAAATAAAACTTATTTAATAATTTACCAAACGTTGGCAAATTATTGCGCCCCTTCAATATTTCCAGACCACATCAATTGAAAAGTTTTATAATTTAAACGGTTTCGCTGCACAATAAAAAACTTATAATTAGAACGCTTCTACCTAGGCTTGAAACTCGGTTAGAGGTCTCATAATTTCCTCTAATAACTTTCAATTAGGAATGATTAAGGCCAGGCTTACACGGGTTGTTACAGTTTAAAAGGTAAGGCAGCACTTGGATAAGATAACAAAATGCTGTCATTGTCAAGAAGGTTTCAGTGTTATATCTTGTTGGTTGTTTATTTGTAAGCATTTATACTCGTACGCAAGATATTTGACAAATCTTTTTCTTTTAATGGTAACGATTTACATCGTTAGAAATTCACTGCCTGCTGCTGTCTTTCCTGAACACTAAAGCCCGGTCCGTGAGCACGTAGAATTTTGTCCAATGACCCCTAGCTACCCATCCTTATCGCTCGCGCGTAATTATATTTCAACGCTTCATTCTTCAGATATAAAGTCACAACGTAGTCCTTTTAGCCTACAAGGCAACCTCGCACGTCAAAAAAAATATTTTAATTTTTAAAAACCGAATAAGGTTTTATGCCTTTGCCATAGCATTTTACGCCTTTGCCATCCACCCCCACCGCTCCGCCGCCGGCGCACTGGCGCCAGTCGGCTCGACTCGTCATTCTTTTTTCGTGCGAGGCAACGTCAACACGTCTGAACTTTGCCGTTATTCTACCCTCGTTCAAAAAATAAAAAGTTAATATGCCGAAACGAAGTTCCAGTGAAAGAATTGCGACTTATGAAGCGAAAATAAGGAAATTGCAGCAAAAAGAAATCGAAAAGAACCAACGCCGTCGTCGGATTGTAATTTTCTCCGATACTTCACAATCGGATAACTCAGGTAAATACGTTTATTTTTTAAGTTTTTCGTAATATGTGAAGTGAAAGTATTTATGGTAGTCATTATTTCTTTCCTGGGGGTTGGCCGTGAGTCAACACGACGGAAACAATGCCGGGGGGTTGGCCGCGAGTCAACACGAAGGCCATCATTCTTTTTGACGGTTAGCCGCGAGTTAACCCTTAAAAATTTTAGGCGTATACTATTGAACTATACACCTAAGACGTATGTTTCTTGTCTTTACAGACACCGAAATAATGACAACCAATGACCCAACGGAGCCCATAACAAACTCAAATGATAGTGCATTCGACGCATCAACGTCACAGCCTCAAGACGAGGTCGTGGATACACTGCCAGATACTGAGCCGCCGCTCGACCTTGAAAAGTCCGAGGACGCACAGCCGGCTGCGCCAGACGCAACGGCGACGGAGGAGCCAGTCCCAGAGCTGGATGCCGAATTCCTGTCTGCACTAGGTGATACTGCCGACGAACAACCCAAATATGGGGAAAAAATACACCATGACCTGGCTCAGAGATGGCTGCCTCTCTTACGCCGCGGCATCCCAAAAGACCAAAAAGAAAGTCTCCTTAAAGATTATTTAATTCCGGAGAATTGCAAATTGCTTAGGGCTCCTACTTTGAACCCTGAAATATCGGCAGCCGTAACAGACGCCTCCAGGAGTCGCGATAAGAAATTAGAGAGCGCCCAACAACAGTTAGGGCTCGGCATCACCGCGTTGAATAGGGCTATGTCCCTCATAATCACCGGTGACGATAAACAAACCAAGGTAAAAGCAATAAAGATGCTATCTGACGGCTGCCGCATTTTATCAGATCTTCATTTTACGGAGACTCAAGCTAGAATCAAGCTGATTACTCCTAATTTGGATAAAACCTTCCTGAACATTATTCAAGATGTAGACAGAGACGAGTTCCTCTTCGGAAGCAAATTATCTGAAAAGATAAGGGCCTCAAAAACAATTGAAAAACAAGGGCTTCAAATCAAGAAAGCCCCTGTAACTCAGAAAGCCCCAACACCGTCTTCGTCACAAACACCTGCTCGGCCACGCTACCAGGGAAACTGGACAGCCCCTTCTCGCTACCCGCAGCCCTCGAACAGGGGGGGGAGAGGAGGGGCTCAGAAGAACCAGTCGTCATCAAACTTCAAGGGGACTCCTCAACAGCAGAACCGGTCCTCGACGCAGGCGAAGCCGCGTGCCCCTCCTCGTCAGTGACTGAGGTACAACATGCAGGTCGACTGCAACATTTTTACGAATGCTGGCTCCGCATTACTAACAACTCCTTAATTCTTAGTTGGATTAAGCACGGTTTCTCGATACCTTTTGCTAAACAACCCCGACAGTCTAACATCTTTCGTAAAACATTTTCATCTAAGGAAAAGCTTGAAATGTCCGAAGCCATAGGGAAGTTAATAAACTTAGGCGCAGTGGTTCAATGTGAACCATGCGAGGGGCAGTTCATTTCTAATATATTTTTGGCCCCAAAGTCAAATGGCGAGAAGAGGTTTATACTAAATCTTAAACCACATAAATAAGTTCATTCATAAAATTCATTTTAAAATGGAGGACTACAGAACAGCCGCTAAACTCCTACCTAAATTTGGTTACGCAGCAACAATAGACTTAAAAGAAGCCTATTTGCTCGTACCAATATCAGAAGCAGACCGGAAATCCTTAAGATTTGAATTTCAACATGAAAATGGTCAAAATGTAACATATGAGTTTACAGCTATGCCATACGGCCTTTCTGTAGCTCCACGGACTTTCACAAAATTGATGAAAGAGGTCATGACCTTCTTAAGATCTCAGGGTTACACTTCTGTAATCTACCTGGACGATATTCTTTGCCTTGGAGGTAGTTATCGGGATTGTTTGCAAAATGTGACGGAAACCCTGCGTTTATTACAATGTTTAGGTTTCATAATCAACTTCCAAAAGAGTTCCCTGCTACCTAAACAGTCTTGCCGTTTCCTAGGATTCTTATTTAACTCCATCGATATGTCTATCTCATTGCCCCATGATAAACGAGATCATATTGCGCTTGTGGTAAACAAATTTATCGCATTACCTACATGTACCATTAGGGACTTTTCCCAATTAATAGGCACACTAGTAGCTGCCTGTCCAGCCACACGTTACGGTTGGCTCTATACAAAGATTTTGGAAAGACAAAAATTTTTAGAACTTAAAAAACACGGTAGTTATGACGCTAAAATTAAACTGACAGAAAATATTTTACCGGACCTAAATTGGTGGTCAGAAAACATAGTTTCAACTAGTAACGTAATTGACTTGGTAAAGTATGACTTCGAAATTTACACCGATGCGTCCCGATCAGGCTGGGGCGCGTACTGCAACGAAAAACGTGTAAACGGTGGATGGACAGACAGTGAAAAAGAATTCCATATCAATTACCTGGAATTACTTGCAATCTTCCTGGCTTTGAAATGTTTCGTAACTGATAAATCAAATATATCTATTTTATTGCGTGTAGACAACACTACAGCAATAAGTTATATTAATAGAATGGGTGGGATACAATTCCCTCATCTCAATGATTTGGCTAGAACTATTTGGCAATGGTGCGAGAATCGAAGTATATGGCTGTCGGCTTCCTATATTAACACAAGGGATAATAAGGAAGCAGACGAAGAGTCTAGAAGGAATCCCGACATCGAATGGAACTTGTCAAGCAAAGCTTTCCAACTAATATCAGATGTTTTTGGGACTCCTGAAATTGACCTTTTCGCTTCTCGCACTAATGCTAAATGTAATACTTACGTCTCGTGGAAGCAAGATCCCGACGCTATTGCTGTAGACGCGTTTACACTAAATTGGAAACAATGGTTCTTTTATGCTTTTCCACCATTCCCTTTAATTTTAAAGTGCATTCAAAAAATTTACCATGACAAAGCCTCGGGGATATTGGTTTTTCCCTTCTGGCCTTCTCAACCCTGGTTTCCTCTTCTGAAGAGCTTACTAGCATCGGAAATAATATACCTAGACTCTTCTTATGCTCTATCCTATTCGTGTTTCAGAACTCGCCAACGGTTCTTCAGACAGAATACCCTGGCTGTTGCGAAGCTCTCCGGCTTGCGCTTCTCAGAAGAGGAACTCCAGAATCAGCCTTAAGTTTAATGATAGGATCTTTGTCCAAGAACACAATATCGCAGTATAATGTTACATACAAAATTTGGTGGCTATTTTGTAATGATAACAATCTTAATGCTTACGATTACTCTCCTCATTCAATTTTGCAATTTTTAACGGAGCAATATAATAAAGGCTCAGCATATGGTACATTGAACAGCCATCGCTCTGCACTTTCCCTCCTGTTAGGAGGCGAAGTAGGTGCTAATGAACATATCAAACGATTATTAAAAGGTGCGTTTAGGTCAAGACCTGCCACCCCTAAATATGTGAGAACATGGGATCCCAATTTAGTGTTAGATCACATTGCAAAGTTTGGCCCAAACAAGGATCTTTCTATCGAAAAAATTACCAAAAAATTAGTGGTATTACTCGCTTTATGTACGGGTCATAGAGTGCAAACACTATCCCTTATAAAGGTGAGTAATATCACTAGAACCGCAAACGGCATTAAGATTGTAATCTCCGATATGATTAAAACCTCCGCTCCAGGACGTGAGCAGCCAATTTTGTTCCTACCATATTTTGAAACAAACAAGGATATTTGTCCAGCCACCACCATTAGGGTTGCCAACTTTTTTTAGAAGAAATAAAGTATATCTGATTTTAAAGAAGGTAAATAAAGAGTACGGACTTACAAAAAAGAGTATAATTTATTTTGTACTTTTAAAAAGGTATTATTTTGTACTTTTTGCAGCACATAACAATTTATCATTGTTTTTAAAGGAATTTTATGAGTCCAAACATTCCAACTCTAAATTTATATATAAAGAGCTCATTTTTGATCAAATTCAATGAAGCTTTGTTTCTCTCTTCTCGCCACTTCACATTCATGACAGAAAATGCTCTTTCAGTAAATGCGGAAGTGGCGGGAACAGCTATAGACAATCAAATTCTTTAGGATATTTTTTAAAAATAAATTGCCATTTTTCTGCAGTAGATTTTTGCTTAAAAAAAGGGGTTGTAAGGGGTTGAAAAGGGCGATGAAAGGTTGTATGAAACAATTAGAATCTTGAAACTTATTTTTTAGGCTTTTGATTAGACAGAAATAAAAAATGCTAATATAAAGTTTCTAACAAAATTACCCTAAAGGGAGTAATAAAATTAAGGTATGAAAGTTTGTGTGGAAATTTGTCACTTTTGAAGCTAGAACGATGAAACTTTTTTTTTACGATAGGGATACTCCCGATGTTATGATGACACATTTACACAATAAATACACACACAATTTCACAATTTGACATGTAATATTATTAAATAAATTTCTTATTCTTATTCTTTAACTGACATTAATGGCTGCGCTCAGGAACGTTCGAATATGGTTTGGGGAATCGGCGATACCAACATATTGACAGTAAATAGTAGACTATTTTTTATTCTGATTATGGATTTTTGCATATTATTACAGACGTGCACTACTTTAGTAAACATTTTGTAAAAAAGAGTATTTTAGCGTACTCTATTAGTGTTATAGATTATAGAGTACGCCTACATGATATAGAGGACAATACTCTATTTTAGAGTACGGTTGGCAACCCTAATTATGAGTCAAATTTCACCCGAGCGAAGCCGGGTTTTCATCTAGTACTGGAATAAAGTCTAGCATTCATGAATATTAAACTAGGACGAAAGTAACCTTACAATTTAAATTTCGTCGCGACTCTGAGTTGCGCGGCCATCTTAAAAATAACTCTAACTTTGTAGGCCGGTTATTATAAGTTTTATAAGTTAAGTTATTTTGCGAAATAACACTTAATGCTTTTGATCTGGAAAATTTTAAGAGTCTATTAACGACTTACGTCTACTTCATTTTGTAATTCTTAAACGCAATCGTTAACTTCAATGATTTTTTACCTGTTTTTAGTGAAGAATTAAGCATCCTACCCAATTTTTTTCAGATTTTTGTGATGGCATGAAATATCCCATTCTCATTACTTTTTGAAAGACACTCGTAGTTCAGCGACGACGAGTTCGTACTACCAACCCTTGAATTGGCAGTAGCTTTTATATTGGGACAAATAAGAACTAGGCTATATAGGGCACAATAATTATTCAAAGTTGCTTATTGCAAAAAATGACCCAAAAGGAGCGAAGTTGGGAATGAAAAATGTTCCCAGCTATTCGGTTGAAGCCCGGTCTGTAAATATGGACAGACCATTTTTTCAATGGGCAGGGCACATAGTACGCAGAACTGACGGCCGATGGGGCAACAAGGTTCTGGAGTGGAGGCCGCGTACCGGAAAACGCAGTGTGGGACGTCTACCCACAAGAGGTGGACCGATGACATCATAAATGTAGCAGGGAAGCGCTGGACGCAGGCCGCTCGCTACCAATCGATCAACATGGAAAGCATTGGGAGAGGCCTATGATTTTTTTCAAGATGAAAAAGAGGATGAAACTTTGTAATGTACTTATAGTACTACAATCTGGTGATAGATACCTACTTCCCTGCCATACAACACTTAACTCTAATGAAATACCAAAAATAATAATACTCCAGCAAGTTAATAACAAATTCACAAGCGATTTTGACATTTACCCTTACAGAAATAAAGTTAAACAAAATAACCGTTGATTACAATGGCGGCGGACTGAATAGCGATAATAATTGTGGGCTGAGTTCGTGTGTAGATAACTTCTCCGCTTTGCAAATAAAAGTTTAGAGAGGAGCTGATGTGGGTGGTAATATCACGTGACTATCGGGTCAATTCGAATTACATTTATTTTTATTAAAGTACCTAATCTTCTTCTTTTCGTGTCGAGAACAAACCTACACAGTGTCAGCCCAAAACTCCGCTATAAGAACGGCGTTGTCAGCAGCACTCATCAAATCCTCCTGAGTGCAGTTGCTCGGGCACTCAGGGCCCGACGTGGTTCATCGACTGGGGAATAAAACCGCACCTGCACTCCATGTATAAGCCATCCAAGAATCCCCACCTGACCAGATGTCCTTACTACGTCCAACCTGCGTCCGAGTCTTTTTAAAGACTTCCAGGTAAACTAGGGGAGATCATGTCCAGGTGGAGGACTTTCAGACACAGGGACAAAAGGGCAGGGGAGATCAGCTCTCTCGCGCACTGTAATCTGCATCTCCTAATAAAAAGTACCTAATACTGCACGTACAGTCCGTATCTATAACTGTTCTAAAGTGACAAAAGAACAAAAAACTTGATTGTTATGCGATACTCTATTAGAGGTTCTGATATAGTCAATTGATTGCTAATGATATTTAAAAAGGTTATATTTATTTATAAAATGCAAAACGTTAAAAAGTCCACAGTGTACTTCAAAGGAAATCTGGAAATCCATAGTAACAAATACTTAAATAGGTACTCCT